AGTAATTGGCAAACAGCTTAATGTTATATTTTTTTTTTTGTTGAAGCCAAATGGCCTCCAGCCTCTACAGTTTTTCTTGATAGCTGTTATGCAGCTCTCAACTCAAAACTCCACATTTTCAAAACAGTTAAAACAAAGGCCTAAACAGTGGCACACTTTGGTCCAAGTGACACATTTTGTTTGCAAAAGACTCTAATTGTGTCAAAGGATGGATAATATGAAACAAAAAGCTACTATAGTCTTCAAACAACACAACTTGCAACCGAGTGTATGACTGTGGCAGTGGAGCATCTTCAGATCCAACACATGAAAATCCCTGCTTTAAATTATTGTGTTCATATTTTCTTCTTTTTATTTTGTTTGGCCCAGACTTTGTCTCCTTACTCACCGCAGGTACTAAAATCCATCAATTTTATCTGTGGCATAGGTTTGGTGAAGTTGGCTAACTGAATGAAAACAGAAGTACTATTAATATCACAGAAAATACTGTAAATGCAAACCAAAATAAAATCAAGGAATAATAAAAAAAGAGAAATTCCCGCAATAGAAACTCTGTGTCATCTACCTTGGATCCATACTGGATCCACACAGACACGGCACATTTTAGGGCGAATGAAGGAGAGTCAAACAGGTGCAAGCCTGGTGTACTGTAACTCTTTTAAGTCATGTTTTTCAGTTTCTCATGTGAATAACAGTTGTATTTGTTGATCAATTTTCAACCCTGAGTGTGATTCAATTGCCTTTTGAGATGTGGAATTTAAAGCAAACAGTATCTCGTGATGCATCATCACCATTTGCTGTTGAAAGACTAACAATTCAGGCCATTTCAGCTCTTAGAGAGACATCTTTCAGGCAGCGGTGCCACCATTGATGATGCATAGCTGTTTTGACAACTTTGTTGCTAGACAATTGTGACTGTTTTCTCATTCCAGCACACTTCTTCTGCCTTCAGGCTCTGGGAGTAAAAGGTGTCTCTCCAAATGTGTTTTAAGATTATTTTTGCCTTGTGGAAAAAGTCTCTCATCCCTTTTCGATCATTTTCAGTGGTGTAGACGTTTATGTTAGTTTTCTGGTTTGACAGTGAATCCACGCCAAACTGCCTCGATCAATAATTCTAATATAAAGATGCATTTTTATTGCTGCTAAAAATACTTCAGCTCATTTATTTTTCATTTGTTTTATAGCAGATCAACAGTGTTGGGTTACCTCAGCAAGGAAACTTCAGCAGCAGTATTGAGTTGCTATGTAATGTAATAGTGAGGTGTTAAACAATAGTGTATGTTTGTTATAGATATCAAACATGAATAAACAGGCAAAAAGAAAAAATGATATTAAATGTTGAGCATTTTCAGTCAAACATCAATTTAACAGTTCCCACCTAAATTTTGAAGTCCTGTTTAATGATAATGTTTTTTGATTCAGCTTCAGAATAGACTTCTTTATTTTGTGTTAAATAAATGAGGCATTGAGATTGTAATACCACATGCAGCCTCATACAAAAAGGAAAAGTCACAGATAGGAATTGTTGAATTACATTTTGTAAGTGGTGTATTGGAAAATAAAATGCCTTACAAAAATCCATAATTTTTTTTTCTCCACATTTTGTTACATTACAACCAGAAACCTCAGTGTATTTTATTGGCCTTGTTTTGTAATAGACTAGCATAAGAAGAACATTTAAAATTATATTGTTTGTTCGCTATTGTAAAGCAAACATTTGAAATCCTGGCATCTTTACAGAGATTAAACACAGGCGGAGTACTAATTGAGTGAAAATTAAATGTATTAATTTGATTTATTTGTTTATGGGTACCTGATTGAAGGTGATTGAATTGAATATGATTTTCAAAAATTTTCAGATAATTTTGTTTGTTAAGAAAAACAGTAACTTTGAAAACAATGTGTCAACTTACCATCGGCTTAGCAGTCAAGCTCAGCAATTTTATTAGGAAATAGTCTTATAACTCATGACTTAATTATTTTTCGTGTGGACGCTCAGATAGAACGTGTTTCTATGAGAAGCCCCATGGGCCGAAACTTACAAACTCTCACACATGCTACCAAACCCTCTTGCACTTAATATCAAACTCTCTTACAGAGTCTGATTGCAACGGAAGTTAACTTAAAATTTCAGATTCTGATTGGGTTTATTTAGTCCATCACAACAAGAACCTCTGATTCCAGCTTCCGATTCGGGAAATAGCTAAAGGGCGATTTCGCATCATTTTTCACTACCTTCAGACCTTCTTTAATTGACTCTCGTTTAAAAACTACAACACCCAGACTCTTCAAACCTGGACTGGATCATTTTCAACTAACAGCAGAATATTTAGAAGCATGTTTGTGATTTGAGAAATTTCAATAAAGGTTGATTTTACCACTTTTTTTTTTCCTTTTACATCTGGATCACACTAGAATTGCTCCAAAACTACAACACCTAGACACTTCAAACCTGGACTGGATTAGCAGGCTAACGCTGCGGAGGTAGCCTGCGGAATAAAAACAGGCATTTTTACTCACTTTGTTTTAGAAAATAAATGTATACATGAATAAAGGAACAAATATAAATGGGAATAAAGATACCCATTGTGTATTTTACACATTTATTTTTTTTACTCATTTATTTTCCTATATATTTATTTTTTTAAACTTTGGCTGAAATGGTTCTCCATTCACCTCCACACTTATCTTTTTGCTCATCTTTTATCTTTACCCTGCCTTACTTACTCCGATCTATAGGGCCTATCATCCTTTTTCTTTCAATTATCCATGCTCCTTCCACCTCTCTTCGTTTATTCCTAATGCTGCCTAACGCCCAGTCTTACCCGGCTTTCCTTCTATTCTTTCTCCATTTGTTGTATAGTATGCTATGCAAACCCCAAGAGAGAGAGAGAGAAAAAAATGGGTGAAAAACGCTCTCTCTGCACCACTGTCACAAAAGACCGGTGAGTCATCTCCACTTATGTTCCTCTCGCATCCCTCCTCCTACAAAAACCCCAAACAAAAAAAAACAAAAACAAAAAAAAAAAAAAAAAAAAAAAAAAAAAAACGCATGCACGCATACACACACGCGCACGCGCACTCAAAACACTTAAATTACCTGCGGCGCATTTACAGGAAGACACGGACAGATGCACAAATGTCGGTGAGCTACAGACAGACATTTAAAAACAAACAGATTCTACAGACCTCCAAGGAACTCCATGATACAAACTCATGGTTTGAATTGTTAATGAAGAACATGATAATGACGGCTAAAATTTGCATCATAAAATGCCACGCGCTATTTAAAACCTTTTTAACTTAGAGTGATTAAGACAAGTTGCAGGAAGGACGGTACACAGATGAACACGCCGCAAAACTGGTAATAACAGAACGTGATGTCTATAATCATGTGCTTGAAGTGATTAAACAGAAAAAAGAAGAAATGAGAACACATAAAGAATACAACAAAACCCCGGAGGGGATAGTAATTCTTTTTGTTCATGTTTATACACCTACATTTTAAATATCACAAATGAAATACTCTTTCCCCATCTGCTGGTGGGATGCGTCTCTGCAGTCAAAGAGGTGCTGAGCACAAGATGGCAGGTATAGAAAATCTCTGTTTTTTTTTCTTTTGTGAATGTGGAAATTGAAATAAGATATTTACATTTATTGATGATTTAATACCTGCAAATCAAATAAATCATCTTCTACTTTCTTCTAAATGCAGGAGGCTACCTGTCACAAAAATACAGTTTGTTTTCTTTAGTTCTATCGAATCTGTTCGATAAAATGGGTATAAACCATCTTGGTATACTTTCTCACACTATCTACCATTGATTAATTTCTAAAGATATAAAACAAAACATAAAGGGCGTATTTTAGGTTATCAGATCCGTTATTCTCTTCTCATGTGTCTCTTTGTTGCAAAGCGCAAAGTTTCAAATTTGAACAATTCTGAGTTTTCGGAAACCTCCTGCTGTGTGTGGTCATAAGTAGCATCTGTCCCAAACAACATTTTGAAATATGGTGGGGAAAATTCAATATAAGGGTTTGTTTCATCCTTCATTTCAAGCCGTGACCAACTTAGAGTGTTTGCTGAGAAACAAGTAGATAAATCTTAGCAATTTTAGCCTCATTTGATAGCACAAGTTGTGAAAACAGCTTAACACTTTGTATAATTAAAAATATGTCCTGCCTGTAGTCACACAAATAATAAAATAATAAAAAGAAGGGTCTTAAGGCTCTTCTACAGCTTTGTGAAAGCAGTGAGAAAGTTTCTGGCTTCTGAAAGTCTTGCTCATGTCAAGCCGGACTCCACCGCACAGACACTGGAGCCCTCATCTGATTACTCTTTACAGAGACCTGCTTGTGAGCTATTCAGGCACATGAAATATTGAGAGTGTGGAGCTTCCGTTTCAGACGCAGAGAGGAAGGGAAGAGAGCAGAGAGGCTGGCAGGCAAACCAAGACTAGGGAAATAAAAAGCCAAAGAGGGTTGGGATTAGCAGGAAATAGCACATTAGGCACCGTGGGGGGGAGACACATGAGTGGGGATGGAGGAAGAAAGGTAAGGCAAGGAGTGGATGAATGTTTAAGATTAATCAAGCTCTCGCCTTCAGAGTAACAACAGAAGCTGAGCTGGTGTAGATGATTGAATGGCTGATAACCCTCTTGTAGATCAGTTAGGAGGGCATGTTTTTTTATTTTTAATTCTACTCCTTTTCCCCGAGAAAGTAGTGAGGCAACGTCTGTCCAGGCAGAGGTACTGGCGGAAAAATCCGGTGAAGAAATCATTGAGTCCAGAGGTACCCAGACACCAGAGGACACCACCAGGGCTAACAGCGGAGTCTGGGATGAAGAGGTAAAAAGCAGATGGGCAACAGAAAGAAAAATAGAAAAATTAATTGCAACTTTTGTTTTGGTGTTTGGTCTGTGTGGCTGACGGTCATAGATTTTAGAGGATCAATGCATTGACCATGCAGAGATATTAGCAGAGGAGACTGTGATAGCGACGGTCACACAAGGCGATGAGGTCTACCTCCCGGAGACCCACCTGTCAACAGGTCCCCAATCTGTGTCATCTCATCTCTCCACCACACAAAGTAAGATACACACAAACTTGTATTATGTCCTCACATTCCTGTAGGGACATTGCACTGACTCAATCGATTCTCTGACTATCATTTCATCTCCAGAAATGCTGCTATCCTCTGCTTTATTAACTAATAAATCAATTTTTAACAAAATATTTAATTTTTGTTTGGAATGCGTAAAATGTGGACAAGATCCATCCATGGTAGGGTGGGTGGCAATGTCTGGTGGAAAACATGTTTGAAAAATACGACCTTTCTTTGATTTTATGTTTGACTTTTTACCTTCCAGAAACATTTGCTGTACTGAATAATGGTCTAATGCATTGAATAATTTGTGTCTTTACAGATGCCCCAACTGAGCCATGCTGGTATTGTCTGAGGTCTCTTGACTCTGAGTCTCATCCCAATGTCACAAAACAGGAGGTAATTTTTCTGACACAACATATTTTGTTGTTGTGTAGCAAAGAGATTCTCTGAAAAGATATATTGGAAAGCTTTTACTTACTTACAAAAACATTCAAATTATAAACTAATAGCATAAAAAATGATGCTCAAAAAAGCAAGAGCTATAAAGTGAATCAAGTCAAGAATTATATGAGATTCGTTTTTTGTTACTTGTAAGAAAAAGAACTAGACATCAAAATTTGAACAAGAATATTGTAAACACTTAACTATTGATCCAACTGTAACTACATGTTTAGATTACATTTAATCCTCAATAGTTATTCCACTATAAAGAACTCATCATTTATGTTAAGGTCAAGTGAATAACTCAATGATTCCCTAAGTTACTTTGAAAACAAATATAATTTAGCTTCGTTAAATGTAAGCAAAAAATTATTTCAAAAATTTTTTTAAAATTAAGCTGTGAATCAGTAAAGCACAGCTTTGTTTTGAACACGTCTTACTATATATTCTGTAGGTCTCTATTCCCTGTGTTTCAGGAAGACTCTGATCCTGAATCACATCTGCCCTCTAGTGGCCAAAAAGTGAACTACCAGACCGATCCCAGACCTCACTTTGGTGTAGCCTGTTCCTCCCACTCTACATGTCGCCCCCTATGGGGCAGCGAAGGACCTTGTTGGGGACCACGAAACCAGGAGCTGGCCGAACAGACAGACACCTGTCCACACTGTCACCTGGGCTTGCCCGCCGACACACTGCGCTGGCATGAGGTTGGCACAAATACTAGCATGGAGACACAAACAACATCTGCTCTAAATTCACTGAAATATCTCTCTATTCACAGGCAAAATGTCTTCTGTTTGATGGGCTGAGGAGCTTGAAGAAAGAAAAGTAATCACTGTGAAAGAAAGATGCAACTTGTACATATTTTAGAAATATATTTCTACATCAATTTTCTGGGCAAATCTTTCAGGAACATTTTTGTTCATGTTGTGCAATTTATTCCAGAGCAGATAAACTGTTTAGAATGACACATTCATCCCATGTGACACTTTGATTTATAATCTTTAAAAAAAACCTTTTTTTTTTTTTTGGCTTTATCTTACAAAAGGAAGTGAGAAATGCATTTAAACAAATAAAAATGATTAACTGTCGAACTGGGTCAGATTCTCTGGTCCAATACTCATTGGTTCAAATCTTATTAAAACAAAGGAGATATCGTCTTACTGGAATGGACAGAAGTCACATAAGATGTACCCCAAGGTTTAGTCCTGGAACCCCTCCTATTTGATAGTTTCATGCTCCTGCTAGCTGAGCTTACAACAAGAAATAAGATTAGTTACCATAAGTACACAGATGATACATAGCTCTACATAACGATGTCACCAGGTGAATCTGAACCCATCTGAGGACTACCATAATTTTTTCCAGGTGAACAGAGACTAAACTGAAGTAATCATCTTCCAACCTAAAAAGGAACAATCAAAAGTCAGCATGCAGTTTCAATTCTTACAGCCAGAATCTATGATCAAGCTCGAAATCTGTGTGTAGTTTTCTGTGTGTGTAACCTTCCAGACCACTCAGGTCTTCTGCACCTGAGCAGTGATCAGTTTCTATACAGATGCTTTTGGAAAACTGCAAACATGCGTTCTTTGAAATCAAGTCTATAACAACTACCTCTTAAGTGGAACATTGATTGACATATTTAATGTATATTAAATTGATAATTTTGATGATGGCATTTGATGAAATGCAATGTTTATTGCTCGTTTCAAAATTTGTATTTTTTTTTATAGCATTAAGCACTTTGAACTGACTTGTTGCTGAAATGCGCTACACAAATATACTTGACTTAAATTAACAAGCTTCAAATAGTTTTATCTGTGAAGCCTAAACAAGAACAAACATATCAATTAAGAGTTTTGTACAATCTTCAAAAATAATAAGAATATTAAAGCTATCATATTCCTGAGTAACTGTATTCTGTAAAGAGAGTGATCTATGATCTATTTTTTGAAAGACACACATAACATAGATTAAAAGGATACATTTTTTTTAAAATTAAGCTCTAAATAACTTTGAGATCATAATATTACTATGTGATTAAATTTGGTCAGGTTTGAGACTCAAAATTCAAAGTTTAGTGGGGAGATTTGAGACTACTCATTATTTCAGAACAAAAATAACTTGGCTCCACGAAACGGAATATTCAATGATTAGACCAATGTTGTAGCTGTTTAAGTGAAACAAATTAACCAATTGAAGCTTGTATAAAACATGTTTCAGAATAAAGTTGCATTAATTCAGCTGTTTGAATTAATACAACTGAATGGAATATTAGAACTGGGTCCTTGTGATGTAACGGAACCAGAGGGATCTACAGACAGAACTTCACTAAGTTGCATGTTCTGTCAGTTGGAGCTCATTCAGGTTTCATCTCACAGTCTCTGAGTGTCAGGATTTGTCTTTAATGTTTATCGTCAGCTGGATGAGCACATGAATCTTTATCTACTAGCTGCTACTGTGACACAACAGGCTGTCTTAAATCTTTAAATCCAGATAAACCATGGAGGAATACGAAGACAGACTATGGGAAGACGATTGTTCTTCTTCCTCTGACGATTGGGGGGAAGAGACCATGCATTTAGACAACCGTGACACTGAGGAGATAGGTGAGTGGGAGATGCTTCCTGATGTCTGCTTGCTACACATCTTCAAATATCTCTCTGATGGTGATCGCAGCAGGGCATCTCTGGTTTGTCATCACTGGCACAAAATCATGCGTCTGCCCTGTCTCTGGCGCTGCCGCTCCTTTCACCTCAGTGGCCGTCTCTCTAAATACAAGCAGTCCGAGCACTTATCGGCAGTGGGCTATGTTGACAATTTGGGAGTCTTCTTGGAAAGTTTGGAGGTGACTGTGTGTCCTCCAAGATCTGTTGTGTTGGCCCAGCGTCTGCATAACACCATCTGTGGGCTGTTGAATACACTGGTCAGGTAAAACAATTTGCATCTTAAGGCTGCAGTATGTAACGTTTACAAAAATATATTTTTTATATATTTACTAAAAGTGTTGCCATGTTGTGACAGTGTAACATGAGACAATCTGTGAAAATATTGGTTTCGTCCACCTTCTCCTTGAGCTGCTATTGCTGTCTGAAGAAATGTATTGCTCCCAACCAAAAACAAGTCAGAGCCAGAGGGAGTGTCTTAGCATTGTCAATCAACTTCATGTATGTGCTGCTCAATGGCAGAGAATCTTTCCAGTTACTAGTTTTCCAGGAAGTTACCAGGAAAACTGTTAAATTCCAGTTTTCCGGTTAAATTCCAGTTTTTATCCACCATCATCCACTGGTGATGATGGATGAGCAGTTTTCCTGGAAAACTATTTATCCACCATCATTGGTGGCCATGCTAACTAGCTTTAGCATTCATGACAAGCTCCACTGCTATACCTCTAGCTGTAACATAGCACAAAGCAAGGGGGAAGGTGTGAGCAGTGCGTACATAAGTGTGATTAAAAGCACAAAGACCCTCCTCCTCTCTCTGATTGTTTCTGAAGGAGCAGAATATCTGTGCAGATGACAGCAGGATCATAGGCAGGAGCCAGAGGAGCTCAATTTTTTCTCATATCTCATGCTATGGTGACACTGAAACAGACATATATTAAGAAATATGTAAAATACATATATATTTTTAGAAAAGTTACGTAGTTCAACTTTAAGTGTCTATCTGCAATCTGAAATCAGACTCCAAATATATTTTTATTCATAATATTGAACATAATTTTGTCTTCACAGAGTTCAAGCCCCATTAAAGACTCTCTCTATTATCAGGCTGGAGCTAGACCGTTCCTCCTGGGGTCAGGGCCTCAGAAATACAGTAGTCAGCAAACTCATTTATTTCCTTTTAGAAGGTCCCTCAAGACTTAAAAACATTTGCCTGATCAGGATACGGACAGAGACCCAGCAGGTAATGTAAAAAGATACCAAATAAGGTAAATACTTGACAAAAAACTTTTAGAAAAAAACTAAAAGTGAATTGGAACGTTCACTTATACTATGAAGTTACCGATGCTTTTATAGGAGATGGAAAAAAAGATTATGTGTTTTTTACTTTTAAAAAAAAACATATTCACTTCTAACGAACTGAATATGTCTACATACACATCGAGTTGACTGAAGTGACTCACTTGAGCAAATAATAAAGCAATACATTAGGAGTAGCCTTAATTCACAGGTGAAATTAATGACAATCAAATACCACTAAATTTATGTTCAGGCATAACAACAACTACTGTACTATAATAGTTTCACCTGAATATGGTTTATTTCCCAATTCTTTTAACCCAAAGGGTCTGGAGCTGCTTTCTGCAATAGTTCAAAATCAAAGAAGCATCTCTCCCTTCTGTGGCCTTTCTTCTTTGGATCTAAGAGGTTTCTTTTCTGTCACTGTGCCCAATCACCTTAATCGCAATATACCTCAAATGCTACAAAAGTTGCAAGGCCTCACCCACTTGGCTCTTAGCTACTCCTGGTTGTCAGATGAACTGCTGCTGGCTCTCAGTGAAAGTACCAGAGCAAGAAGGTTAAACTATGGCAGAGATGGTAACTTCCTGAAAAACTTTTCACTGTACTGCACTCAGAATGAGCCACATCAACAGGTAAGCAGGAAAGAAAACATTAGGTCAGTTCAATGACACTGCCCTATCCATGTTTTATTGAGAAACTACAAAAGATGATTAAACTGCAAGTGCTAAATAATCTCTTTCAAGGTGGTGTATGGTTACTCATGGGCCACTTTGGTGTCCAGCTGCCCAGATCTAAAAGTCAGACTCACAATCGAACAAATCGTTGACACACAGCAGCTGGCGAGAATCCTGCTGCCTGAGGTTCCACTCGTGGAGTACAACATGACTGCATTTTACTCAACAGATGAGAACTCCAGTGCTAAGCCTCTGCTCCAAACCATGCTACCCTGGTACAGACACAGCCTGCAGGTCAGAGTCCGGAGAAAGTTGCATCACATGAAGCAAAAATGTCCTTTTTTTTTTCAACAAAATTTTTACCTGCAGAGAATCTGAAGAGGGAACAGGCTCTGTGCTAATTTATATAATGATGTTACTGTTTGGCTAAGTGGTTCCCAAGCACTGCAGTTTCTGATAATCAAAATGACAGTGGTAGAAATGTTGCCATCCAGACAATTATTGACAACCTTTGGCTTATAAGCAGTGTATGAATATTTTTTGGCTTATGAAATATACATTTCATAAAAGCTTAAAAGCTTATGAAATATTCAAATATTGCTTGTATTATCAGTTTCAAAAAACAAAAGACCTTTCTTTTTTTACTTAAGCCACTTTTTATATATATTTGTTCACTTTCCAACTTTAAGAATCTCCAGTAAGTTGGGGAAATGTATTCTGCTATAATTGTTATAGCTTTTAAAACAATGCCTCATTAAAATTTATTTATAAGACTTTAAAATTCTACTTCCATGTACTTTCACCAAAAGAGCTGTTCAAACTTTAACGTTTGTTGCTTTTGAGTTGTGTCAGCCTACTTCAAGTTCTATTGTGTCTCTACTTGATTTTGTCAAGCATGTGGTAATTACAATTACTGGATAGCTCTACTTCCTCCTAAAATCATTGCTTTAAGACAGCTGTTTATATTGTTGTCAGATATTAAAAGTTGGTGCATAACCTAATACATTTGGGTGTAACAAAATAAGCAGAAACAGACAAGAGGACAAATTCAAATGCATTGGAAGAACGATAGCTGCGTAAAACCATCTGAAAGTGTTCAGTCACAACAATGCAAAGAGAAATGTTCTTGTCTGTAGAATCTAACACTGGACCTGAGCAACTGCAGCGAGTCACTCGATGATGAGCTGCTGGAGTTGGTTAATGTGTGTGAGTGCCTCGTAGATTTGAGAGTCTGGGCTTTCTTGGAGATCTCTACTGTGGGTCGGCTCCTGCACATCCGGATGACTAAAAGGACGTCACTCAACAAGATCAAAGTAGGAAAACAGGGAGATATTCCCATTGAAGCTATGGAAATTCAGTGAAACGAAAGATAAATTGCAGGTGAGAATCTACACAATGGTAGAGAACATAGAGGAGCAGGAAGATCAGCTAATGGAAATACTGTCTCCCTTTTGTTACCCTCCTGAGCTACAGTTCCTGGCAGTCATTTGCCCCTATATATGACACCTTCATGTGTGCCTTAACACCAAACAAGGCACAAGCTCCCTAAAAATGAAAAATAAAGTGAATGAAGCATAGAAGACATCTATTTCTTCATTTAACCACCCAAATGATAAACAGCTTGTCCAGGTGATGTGGGTATGTTTATGTTTTTCTCCAGGAAACTGGGAGAGCTGGTGTTGTGTATAGAAACTCTGACCTACTTTCACTGTAAATAGGGAGCAAGCAATGTTGTGCCTGTGTTTGCTCCGGCATGGGGAGAGCACTATTTAAAGTAACAGAGATTAAGGGCCAATAGAAATAAACTCTTGTTCGGAGGATTCACGCGAGACTAGAAAGAGAGTGAGCCTTCTTTGTGTTTTTAATCCTCTTCATTTGATTTTGGTCTATTATGAATACTGTCTATAAAGGCTGTATTAGTTTTAAGCTCTTAAATATGACACCTTATAATCGTTACACACTCTCCAATGATTGCTTTGCTAATTCCTTCATGACTGAATACCTTTTTAGTATTCTGTTTTGAATAATTACCCACCATTTGAAATGATAATGACATATTTCAACAAAAACATGTCAATGCTTCCTCATTTGCTGAGTATAAGGTCACAAACAACCCCCCCCTTACCCCCCTACCCCAACACACACACACACAAACCTCTGACACTTGTTGAGCAACTTAACCATGATCACAACAGACAACTGAAAAGTCAGTTCTGCTGAAACGATTTCTGCCAGGGAATGGAGGTGGAAACAGCACAGAATTACTTCCAAGTCCTGGCTACTAGTTTTAATGTTGTAAACCGCTGCCAAAATGTATTTATTCTGTCAATTATGTCTTGGGAAAGTATTGCAAAAGTATCCATAGCCCTCCTTCTTTTCCACAGTTTATCATGTTATAACCACAAATAATATTTTAAGGAATTTTATGAAACAGATGAGCATGCCTGTGAAGTGCAAGGAAGCTTTTAGTGTTGTGGATTTGTATTCAATTAAAAATAAACCTCGGTTGCTAACATGTCAGTTTGTCCTCTTTCACCAATTCAAAAAATAATGTCAACATTTCTATTTCCCACAAGCCTGGCATAAGAAAAACATCAGCATTGCACAGTGCATGACTTTAACCGAACAGCATCCTTCACGCCATTGGCTGTTAAAGGCCTCACAAAGTCACGTGACTGTAAATATAATGAGGCACGGGGAGCAGATCGCCGCCCGTCGCCATCACCTGACCGCGGTCGCCACTCCGGTGCCCCGCCTTCCCGTGTTGTTGTTACATCCTCCACATTGTCTCCGCCGGTCCGCCGGACTACCGCCCCCCCCGGTACCGGCGTTTTGTGGAGTCATCCCCGACCGTCGAAATGTCCTCGCTGCCGAAGCCCTACTCTGTCTGCGAGGGGCCCTGTGAGAGCTGCGCTGCCCGAAGACGAGGCCTGAGCTCGGCTCTCCATCAGCGGCTCCCGTCCCCGCTGCTGGCTGCCTCCGCCGCCACCGCCACCGGGTCGGTGTCGCTGAAAGAGCACCGGAGGTTGTGCGAGGGCGGAACCTGGCGGCGGCTGCGATCGGAGGGAGGAAAATCACTCATCCCGGAAAAGCTATACTTGCAGGTGGATTTTTTCTGGCTCTTTTAATTCAGACTGGAGATTTAAAAGTAGTAGTTGCTCTTTGTGTGTTACAGAGAGAACAGTGTAATCCCAGTCTGTCGCCCTTAAAGCTATCCGAGCAGAACTGGGTCAAAAAGCCCCACACCAAGCAGGATGCTACAGCAGTTGCATCATGTAGCTTCATCCCTGTTTTCATTATGCCCCTCATACAAATGTAAAATATCCTTACAATAAATGTTTACATTACAAATCCACCTCTCCTTTATATCCACAAGTTACTTTAGCAACAGAACATTCAGGAGCAGTTCTGCATCTCTCTCTCAGGTGGCATAGCAGGAGCAATAGAGATCTGCATCACCTTCCCCACAGAATATGTGAAGACCCAGCTGCAGCTGGATGAGCGAGCCAACCCTCCACGATACAGAGGGATCGGTAGGTCACTGGGACATGATGGGATGAGTCAGTGGGCTGGGCTGGGATGAGTTTCTGTGCTGGCATTGTGATGCTTTCTCACTCCGTCCTGCTCTGGGTTTGGACAGGTGACTGTGTGAGGCTGACTGTGCAGGATCACGGACTCAGAGGGCTGTACCGAGGTCTCAGCTCCCTGCTTTATGGGTCAATACCCAAATCAGCAGTCAGGTGAAGACAAGCATACTGTACATAGAAACTTTTACATAATGCTGCCTTTTTTTAAAAGCAAAAGAAGCTACTAAAATAATTCAGATTTTAGTTTTTTCACACATTAGAGGTTATCAGGATGGAAAATGTTAAACAAGGAGAAACAGATCCGGTGACATAGAAACCAGGTCAGGTTTCTTTACTGGATGTGTACCACACATACAAGCTTTCTTTTTTGTTTTGTTCTTTTACTTTTCATTTAACAACGAAATGTAACAAAAGAAAAATGTGCTGCTGGGTCCTTGGCAGTAGTAGTTTTATTTGTCAGAAAATTCCCACATGTAGCTAAGCATACATCCCTTACCTTAACAAAATTCCAATGATATCAAATCAATCACATAAAAAAGTAGAGCATGACCTGCATGAACAAGGTTATGCAAGGTCATGCTCTGCCTTGTTGCCTGATTTAAATCTCTGACTGGATTGAACTGGTGCCGTCCTCCCTTGAAACGTCTGACTGATTCCCTGACAAATATCAGCTTTTTGAAATTTCCACATTAGATAATTTTTTATAAAACATGAATTGCCATCAGAAAATAAAGTCACTGGCTAGCAGCAAGTATCTCAATTCTTCTCTGCATTTTGTAATATTTTTCTAAAACTTTTTTTATTTAAAAAAAAGTTTTTGTATAATCTTACATTGATTTGTTATTGAGTACAGAATTAGGTAAAAGTAATGAATCAGCATGTATTTAAAGGTTTATTGTCTTTTGAAATGGTCTCGATTAACCATTCTTCAGTTTTTAAATGTTTTATTTTAAGTTTTCCTGCTTTTTTTTTCTTTTGAAGCTAAAAGTTCCTTATGAATCATTGTCCTCAATAAAGTGCTATTCTGCTTCTCTCAAGCTATGTGATCTTGGATATTATTCTGTTGACTGACTTTAAAAGAAAGTGACTGAATTTGTGACGGGTGCCAAAATATTTTGGTTTTTGCCTTTCTAGAAAATCTGCGAAGAAGGAACATTCCTGTACTAATTTCTTTCTGTTCCTGTGTTATAATACTGAAATGTCTCCATTCTCCCAGGTTTGGCACGTTTGAAATGCTTAGTAATCCGATGCGAGATCACACGGGCCGGCTCGACAACAAACGGAGCCTCCTGTGTGGTTTGGGAGCCGGGATATCAGAGGCCGTGCTGGTCGTTTGCCCCATGGAGACGCTGAAGGTTGGTTGAAACGTTCACTTTCTTCAGGAAGTCTTATGATGTGTCACAGAAATGAAACATCTGGATAAAATGGTCTTTATTTGACAAAGGTGAAGCTGATACATGACCAGTGTTCCCTCAGTCCTCGCTACAGAGGCTTCTTCCACGGAGTCAGTGAGATCATCAGGGAGCAGGGTGAGTGAGCAAAACTAGAGCAGCTGCTTATTTTGTGTATTAGCCAAACTGCATCTGTAGTAGTAATGTACATTTTCCTGTGTAGGATTGAGAGGAACATATCAAGGCTTAACACCAACTGTGCTTAAACAAGGAACTAATCAGGCCATCAGATTCTATGTTATGAACGCTTTGCGGAACTGGTATAACGGTGAGATGATTTTCCCTGAACAGATGATAGAAATTAGAGATCAATAAGTTATTGTCACTTTCATCAGTTTTTTGGCTTTGGTCCCTAAGGTGATGAGCCTCGACGAGAAATGCATCCAATTGTCACTGCGATGTTTGGAGCCACAGCCGGAGCAGCCAGCGTTTTTGGAAATACGCCTCTAGACGTCGTCAAGACCAGGATGCAGGTAGGAAACAAACACAACCCTAATTTATCTTTACATATCTATAATCTAATTTAGATTTGCTTGCTCACTGGCCAAGCATTTGATTTAAAGAAGACGTGTCATTTCCTATCTAGTACCCAAAAAGTAGCGCCTCACAGTGGGCGGGGTCTGAATTATTCGATGTTCTTTGGTAGAAATAGCTTGTTATCCTATCACCCTAACATGCAGAGCATCTTCTGTTTTGTCTTTCAAGTCTTAGTGTTCACTTGTTTATATGCTTTATATTGACTTGTCTTGGAAACAAAATGATCTTAAAAGATAGAATGTGCATAATAATCTATTTTTTCAAAACCCAAGAACAAAAGGATTTATATTTGGATACTGCATTTTGTAATATTTTTCTAAATATTTAAATCTCTTTACATGCTGGTCTTCACCTTTTATGTATTTAATGTTTTGTGCAAATTATTATTAAATTAATATTGCTAAGCTTTTGGATTTGTTTTTGCTACTAATTCTCTGGTACAGCTGATATCAACTTTTGTACATCTTCTGAGACGCAGCTTAGAAACTAAGCATAGTATACGCTCATATCCTCATTTATCAAACCCAGAATGAGCACCAAAAAGAATGTTGTCACTGTAAGTTTGTTGCTTGTTAGAAAATCTTAACACATTTTTATATATGTTAGGGTTTGGAGGCCTATCGCTACAAAAACACATTGGATTGTGCCTTCCAAATCTTGAAACACGAAGGACCACAGGCGTGAGTACCATAGCCACTACTTTAGATTTCCTCCCCCTTTAGCAACCAATCGTAATCTTGTACATCCTGCAGGTTCTACAAAGGCACAGTTCCCAGACTTGGCCGCGTGTGCCTTGACGTGGCCATAGTCTTTGTCATTTACGAAGAGGTGGTCAAACTACTCAACGGCGTGTGGAAAACGCAGTAAACCGGCATGAATGTGAAAAGGGATCTGGGAGGAAGCATGGATCAGTGCCTCTTGCTACGCACAACACAACACCTCTGTTCCAGTTCAGTTTAGCCGTCTGGATTCTCCTGAGCAGATGACGCGTCATCTTGACCGGTGTCCACACTGTTAAGCAACATATTCGGTTACATTGGCTCACTCTACACCCAGCAATGAAGACTAGAGTGTTTTTTCATCAAGTGAATTAGAAGTAGGTATGGATGAAATAATAAAAAGCTGGAAAGACGATAAAAGGAGTATTACGAACGACATGAAGCGAACACTTTGTTCTGAAACCAAAAAAGTGTCTTGATTCACTGAGTACTTACCATATACTGTGCTATCAATGGATTTGAGCAAGCTCCTTGAACCACCGTAACCAGTCTGTGCAGCTCTTGGCTTTGCTTGTGGTGCCGTCATGCAGATGACAGTTCATGGTGAACCTTAATGCCCAGTGATGACCACAGTTCATCTTTGCATGAACATTTTTAGACTCCAACAACGAGTCGCAGACCTGCTGAGGCGACACAGACAAGTTTCCAAAGTGAGTGAGTTTGTAACTGAAAATATGAGCTTATGTTGGTACATCTGTCTTGGTTCATGAACATTGTAGAACCTTCTGTTTTTGTATTCTGTTTTTTATATCATTTTTCTTCTAATCAGATTTACCACATTAAGGTTATTTTTATAAATCCTGGTTTGATCTGTCAGACTTTTGCTATACTAACATTATAGCTAACTCAGTATGACTGGGATCTTAGAAAAGGAAGAGGTTTGTTGCCACCTAGTTGTTAGGTGACAATAACTAGGAACTAATCTGTTGAAAGACTTTTGACATAAGTGACAAGTCTCAAAGCAACAGTTTTTTTGGGTGATCTTAAAGTCTTGAACAAAATCCTTTCTGCCTTTTTAATCCTCTTTTCGTCCTCCAGCTTGTTCTTTCCTTGCTTGTGTCCTTCCTTCACTGTTTCCTTCCTACTTTATTTCTTGTTCACACCTTTCCACACTTATGTCCCTTTCTTGTTGTCATTTATTTCTCCACTTTGATCCTCTTCCTTTGTTCCTTCTTTCCTGATTACATATTTAAAACCTTTCCCATGTAGAAATATTTGACTGAAATTTATGGTATGTTAAATTACAGTATCTGGAAATGTGGAATTTTTTCACAAGAAAAAAATACTTTTAAATAATATTGTATGTTCCAATAATTACAAGGTTTCACACTTTACACAGGGATACAAAGAAGGTTGTTTTATCACTAGTCATTTGTTCTATTTTCAGAAGGCATTTACTGCAGTTTTGTTCATGGTTTGCCGTTTTGGTTTTTCAAAAATGGCCAATTTTAATGCGCTCATTCTCTTTCATTTCTGTGTAAACACATACACTGCTCACTGTAGGGCAGATTCAAAGCTTTTTTTATTGTATGGGAGATACCAAAATACATGACGCACATGACATAAATGCTGTTGGAAAATTTCAATGATTCAAGTGTGATGTTCTTGATGATAATAAACTTGTGTAGACCAAATCTGTGTGGCTGTGATAAGGCTAAATATAACATTTCAGAAGTAGATTTTACTGTGCAAACTGAAATGATCAATCTAGCAAATCAAAAGTATCGAAACTTTTACTCTTGAACTTAACACAAACATCACTGTACCTTAGTGGGATTTATGTGGTAGATGAAAACAAATTGATACTTGTGTACTTTAGATTTTCTGTCTTCCTGGAATATAGCTGTAGTGATCAACAAGAGTCCTCAGTGGGAGGGAGAACTGCTCATAGGTTGGAAAAACACTGGCTTTAAATAAACATTTAGTGATTTAAGTTGATGTCTAATTAAACTTTACTATAAAAGGAGCTAAGGGAGAAGTTCCTGCCTTGTTAAACACATTAAATTCACTATTTAGTATTAAAAAACAAAACCTCAGGCGCACCATTTCTAAAATACATACAGATATACACATATTTTTAAAAAAATAGTTTCTAGTTGCATGTTGTGGATCAATAATTTGTAAAAGCTTTTCAGTGAAATTAGAATTTAAGTTTTTTCAAAAAAATGTGCCTCCAAGACAAAACGTCTCTGATAGATTTGAATAAAATTACATTTTTGGATGAACAAATATGAAGATAAGAATTTTGAATTTGCATCTACACAAAAACAACTCTTACACTCAAAATGCAAGCTTAAAACTAATATGGTAATATTTGTTATCCAATTTGTATAGTATTAACTACAAAAGGACAGCTATTGAAGATCACAAGTCAAATCTTTATTATTATCATGAACGATAATACAATGAGATTGAATAATACATGTATACATACATACTGGTTGTAATCAACATTTCTCAACCATTCAGAGGGAAACTTTGTTTCTTGTTCAACTATCAGCCACTTAATTTACTGTTAAGTCAACAGTATGTTGGGAGGGATCTTAAGTTAGAACGCATTAAGAGTAAATCATCCAGAAATAAATTCATGCTATGGACAAGAAAAGAGGTTTCCCAATATGGGATGAAAAAAAATGTTCAGGGTTTTCTGCCACTACAACTAAGAGATGTGTTTAATGTCGCGCTGATGGCAGAAGAGATTAAATACAGAAGGTGCAGAGCAAGCAACAGAGGACTTAACATCACACAGGAAGGCGTTAACGGTCCCACATGCTGTCTCATCAGACCAACTGTTCATGAAAATATCACCAAAATATCTCAAGAACTGAGATAACAGGAGCTGTATAGCTTTCTGATAATTTACTAAAAAGTATGATTCTTTTATGTGTCTTTACATCTATGATGGTGGCTAATGAGCTTTCAGTAATCTGCAAACTGGTACCAGATTTGTCTAGATGAGGGTTGTTATATTACATAAGGTAAATGTTTTGAAATACTTGTATATGTAGTAATCTGAAGGAATGGCTGTTTCACGTTTCAAATTTCCATTTGGGCGAGCTTTGTTTGCAGTCTTGCATTGCAAATGATTAACATTTGGACTTGAAAACAAGACTCAGCATTTGCATTGACAGGATCCAAGTTCCTCGACACAATTACTCCTGTGGCAGGCGCCGTACAATCAAACAGAGGACTGGATCTGCTCTGGACACCCTTTGCTTCAGCTGTCTTAAGCTTTATAGAAACCCATATGAGAGGATACATCATTGGTTATCTTCTCCATCTGAAAAAAAAACAAGACGAAGGTTTAGTATTTGGATACGTCCAACAATTGTGAAAACTGTACAAGTAGGGCGACTCACATTCGAAGACATTTGTCTTTCCCACCACTTGCCACTCTCTGTCCATCAGGACTCCAGTCAACAGCATAAACCTACAGACAGAAGGAAAATGACCAACTAATAGCAATAAAATGCAAACATTCATTAATGATTTGAACATATCTCTTGTCTTGCCTCATCAGCGTGTCCTGGAAGGTCCATATTAAGCTTTCCAGTCTTTATGTCCCAAACTTTCAGCGTGCTATCACTGCTGCCGCTGACCAGTAGCCGGCTGTCTGCTGACCACGCCACCTGATACACAGACCCCACATGTCCCCGCAGAGACATCAGGTATCTAGAGAACCAAAAGATGGGGATGGCACGTATTTAGCATAACGGCACCATCTCATGGATCTATTTGGTATTGCACATCCAGATACATTTAAATTACCTCAAAGTATAATCGAAAACTGAGACGCACTTTAATGAAAAATTCAGAGGAAGGAAAAAGTCTCCACAAGTATTATTATTATTATGTTAGGTCTTAAGTTGACTGTAAAGAGCTCTGTGTGTAAATCTGAGTTTAAATTTTGTAGATTTGCTAAAAAATCTCAGAGACAAGAAAATGTGAGAACACACATAGCCAGATGTCTAGGAAAAGGGAAAATTTTTTATGTATTTTAGCCTTTCATCCACACAAAAACTCTATTTCGTATCACAAAAAAACAATTTATGAAAATTGACCAATGTGGAGATTTGAGAAAATTTTGTATTTGTGTTTTGAGTGAATGGAAAAACAGTTTTAGGGTCAAACGCATCACAGCCTACAACAAATAATGTGTCAATATGTCTGCTTTGACATAATTTCCAATCGACATTGTCTTGTGCTTTATTAACTTCTAATATGCTATTTAAGAGTAGTTAAATTTATATATCTATCTACAAAAATTAACCTTATGGCGCCATGTTTATTTCCTAACAGGAAGTTGTGGGTGTTTTCAAGCAATACGATTGGCTGACAAACGTTTTAACTTTGCAGGACACTATACCTGTGGGATTAAAAGGCGTAAAACACCCATCAGTGACATATTTATGCATGTTAAATATGTCTTATTATTTTCTGATCCGATCCTGTGTGTAAAATCTTTTTTTCTTTTTAAGTATGTGGCAGAGATATTTGTTTTTATAAACAAATATAAAATATAAGCTGAGTCAGAGGTTTTCTTACTTTCCAGTCCGTCCGTCCCAGATTTTAATGGACTTATCGAATGAAGCAGAAGCGAGCAGCCTGGTGTCGGGGGAGAAGAGCACTTCGTTGACCAGAGCGCTGTGGCCGGTCATCCTGGCTAAAGGCTTTTTGTCTTCAGCAGGATTCCACAGGAATAAGGTGAAATCATCAGAACCAGACACCAACCGCTCCGGAGCGGAGCCCTGCAACGGAAGAAGACAACAAGTTGAGATAATCAATCGAGAAACTTTCCTCTCAAGTCAATAAAAGGTACTCACCCTAACTTTATTGTATCTCTGCAAGGCGGTCTCCTTTATCTCATCCACTAGAGGGAAATGATGCTAATTAGACAGGAACAAAACTCAAAATCCAGCATCACAAAGGAACAGCAGGCCTTACAAGATCCAGTGAGATCCTGGGGGTTGATGGTGGCGGTAGCAGGTTCAAAAGCTCCAGTGCGTAATACATAATCTGTGCTGAGAGCCAGAGTGTTCACCCAGTGGGCGTGACCCTGCAGCGTTCTGCACAGCACGCCCTGAAATCAACAAACAAACATGAACATGTCTGGAATCTAAGTGCTACTTTAGTTAAAGATTAAACAGATCCTCTGCCTTACATCTTTGGGCCGCCACACTTTGACTGTGCGGTCCTGGGAGGAGGTGTAAAGCAGTCCGTCTCCTCCCCATTTCACACAGGTGACTGACTGAGTGTGTCCTGTCAAGATCTTGTCATAGCGTCCCAGAACAGTGTCCCAGATCCGAACAGAGCCATCCTTAGAGCTGCTGGCTAAGTAGCGGCACTCTGGGTTACTGACACAGATGGGAGACGGAACAAACAGTCGTAAAATGTTTAGGTTTCTACAAACAGTTAAAATTTCCCAAAGATTGCCAATAAAATAGAGGAACTGAAGGCTTACAGATGGAGAGGTTCCCAGCAGAGCCAAGTGATCCACTTGGTGTGTCCCATCAAAGTCTTTCCTATCTGTGTTCCTGTCACCGGATCCCAAAGACAGATCTAAAGATGCAGCATTGTGAAAATACATTTTAAAAATTTGTGGAATTCATGTTTAGAAAATAAAAAAAGAAGGTTGGAACATACCTGACTGTTCTTACACCCTGAAGCTAACTTCTTTCCATCAGGTGACCAGGCGATGCTCAGGACCCAGTGGTTGTGTCCTTCAATAAAGCACAGGGGAGCTCAGAGGCGTCCAGATGTCAATATATATTTTGTATTTTTGAAGTGACTACATACCTCTGGCAGTGTGATGGGGAGTCTCAGTCGTTAGATCCCAAAAGCGCACCGTGGTGTCTCCTGATCCACTGGCCAAATACCTCAAACAAACAACAACATAACTTATAAATCAGCCTCTTGTGGGTTTTCATATTATATATTTTGGACAAATACTCTGAAAAAGCATGCAGCTGGTTATCGTGTCTGAGAGTAACTCACTTGCCAGTAGGACTAAAGGCAGTGGAGATGACTGCCTCTGTGTGTCCCTGGAGCGTGCTGGTGCAGCGGGTCACGGCCCGGACTCTGAACACAGCCTGAGGTTGGTACACCACCGGCAGAACCTGCTCCGTCTCCACCCTGAGAGCCTGGATGCAGGAACCCAGGCTGGACACCACCTCTGCCTCGCCGCGCACGAAGAATGCCAGAGGAACGGGCTCCTCCTGCAGGTAGAGAGTCGCAAAATGTAGATTAATACATTTTAATGTATTAATCTACATATTAATACATAATTTTTCAGTTCTGTTGCTTAGTTTCCTGTTTTTTAAATAACATACTTAACAGGTGGCATTAATTTATTCAGCTACAATACTGGAGAAAAAACAGTTAGAGGCAGCAAAAGACTTTAAATGGAGGCAGAGATGCTTGCTGATCACTTATCACCCCAATAAAATGCTCTGAAATTACAGAGTGAAACATGACAAAATGGAGCAGAATGATTACACATTATAATGGGACTGCAACTTAAAAAAAATAATTTTACAAATCTATGTGATGAACATTCAATCCGTATAACACAATGCTAGAAGACTTTGCTCTAACATACGACTTATAAAATAAGCATTTAAAACATATTAAACAGAAGACCTACGTTTTACAAATGTTACCTTGTCTGAAATACTTTTATTTGATAGATATTAAAAAGCATATTTATGCTAAGTTAGTCAATGCTACCTTTTGCAGCAATGCATTGCAGACGAGCTGCAGTTTGTCGGGGGTGATGTCAAGAGGCACATCGAAAGGTGAGCCCAGAACTTCCCCATTCTCATCCTGGAACTGGATCAGCAGCCGTTCCACATCCTCACTTGTCATCTTGAGTCTGGTTCGGTTAGAGCTCTATCAAGATGGAATTTGTTAGATCTGATTTTGCAGTATGTTTGTGTGATCTCTGAATGTTGCACTCTCCAAAGCATCTCAATTTATATTGTGACAGTGAATGTTTCAAGAAGCTAATTAACTTTTAAAATAAGGAACTTTTAAGTTACATTAAATAAAGCCAAAATATTAAAACTCATTTGTATTTTTAAACCTGGAAAAGTTTGAAACTTGTTATTGCCAAGAGTACAGCCTCCAACAAGTTAAGCTGAATACAAATGCATTAAGATCATGTCGTGTGGTTGTGAAAAAGAAATGTTTCAGAATCAACTCAACTTAATGCGACACGAGTCTAATTTCCCCTGTCATGAAAGTAAATACCAGTTTTAGGCACTCATGTTTATTGATAATAAGTGATATACGCGTATTCATACAGCTAAAATGATAATTTAATTTTCTCCCAGGTACTGTTTGTCAAAATTCGCTCTTGCAACAGAACACAAAACCTTTACTTTACTTATTTTTATTTTGAAAATATAGCTATAACTAAACGACAATCCAAATTGGGGGTAAATGTAACAAATAAACAAAAGACAATCTGTCAGTTTTATTTTTAGCTAACTGGTGGTGTCCACACTCTCCATTGAAGCTAACTCAGCTAGCACTTTCATTAGCCTAACCTTTTAGCATCTTGAAGCATTTATTGCACTGAACAGGAGTAAATCTAAAGTTAATTCAAAAACTGTCACTGGTTTTATATAAATACTGAATGCTTTATATATAAACTAAACACTTACCTTTAGCTTAGCGGTTGATATAAAGTCTCCACGTGTTTACAGCCAGAGAGCCTACCACTGAAAAGATATGCTGCTAGGAAACAGAACGTCAAGTGAAGTTACAGGGCCGCAATGGATTATGGGAAAGTCACCAAGTCGTTAGTGTTACTCACACACACCCATCAGTAATCTTTATGTTATTTCTACAATTCGCTATTACGGAATAACAATTAAAGTTTTTAATTCCCAAGAAATGTCTGTTATTTCCTCCATTTAAACACAAATTATTTTTAGAATGGCCGGAGTTTTACGTGTGGCTTATTCTGAATATACTGCAGGTGATAAAAATTTCCTCATCAATAATCTGAAAAGTTTCAGATATATTCTAGCATTGACAGAATAATATCACATGACCCGAGGAAAGAAGCACTGTTTTTGGGAAGTCTGTGTCTGAATTTTAATTGTGGTGGTTTGCAAGGTGTTTAGATTAGTTTAATCTGTTGAGGAACAAAATCTGAATTTTAGGTCCAGAAGGTCAAGGTTTTTAAAAGAATATCATTGGAAGATACCTCATTATGTGTTCTGTTATTTACTGAACACATAATGAGTGAAACAAAAATAATTTGCACCTGAAAATTAATTTAAACTGTAACCCTGTTATACTTATTAAATAAATACTACTGTTTTCTAACTGAGGTAAATTAGGACACCCAACTCTCTAGCTTAACCACTCCTTGGCTGAAATTGCTTCAGTGGAAGATTTCTTGTAGATTTCTCATCTCTAGCATCATTCTGAATAAAGTTTTTCTTAGTCCTCACTTTCTTTGTAGGGTTTCTTTTATATAAAACCTGTTCAAAGTTAACACCATCTGTGTAATATGAAGTTCTGGGCTTTGACTTGACCATTTCCCAATTCTTAGTTTTCATTGAGTGCATAGTGAAGTTTGCTACAACACAACATTGTCATGTTGTGGGGTCCAATTCTGCATTTGCTGTAATGTTGTACAGATAGTCTCAATTATTGTTTAACGACCACTGGAAAAATATTCAGAATTCATGGTGGATTATGTGGTGATGAGCTGTTCAAGTTCTGATCCAGCAAACATCGAGTGTATGTCATTTGCACCACCATGCTTAATAGTTAAGAGTAAATTCTTTTTCTGGAATTATATATCTGGTTTAATCCAAACAAGACTGGTATTCTGGTGTCTAAATATTTCACTTTTAGATTCAATGGTAGAGAGAACATTGTTCTTGACATTCTGGTCTTACCCATGTCTTCTCAAACTTGAGTCGTCCTTTGTTTTCCCCCTCTTTAGAAAATAGAGGTTTTCTCCTCACACATATCTGATGGACGTTAAGGTTTTGCAGCATCTTTTTGACTGCACAACATGCACTTTCACATCCCCAGTAGCATAAACAAGCTGTGTAGATCTTGAAATAAAATTTTAGGTAGAAACTTCTTTCAGTGTATTGCAATCTGCTTTTGGGGATAAACTTGCTTTTGAATGGCCAGACCGGTACATGTTGACAGTTGTTTTTAATGTCCTCCAAATGTAAGTTTTTTTCTGGACAGATAGTTTCTGGCCCTCTTAGATAACATACGGAAACTGAATCTCTCCAGCAGTTCTTGGGATCTTACCATTGTGTCCACTCTCCCTTCAACAGTCTGGAGTTTATCATAATGATTGTCTGTGGTTCACAAAGGACAAATTTTCTTTGAAATCTTGAGTAATGATGTTTTAATCAGAATGTATATACAATACTCTTTGGCTACTTTGGGTGAATTTTAGTATTTCTGAAGTACATTGTCAACTTCTTAAGGTAGATTAACATAAGCTTAATGTTATGTCTATTCACATTTGCAATGTAAAGTTGAAGCATATCATTAGACCAGTCAATCATTAAAGTGATTTAATTTTATTAGTAATTTATTCTCAACCAAAGGTCCAATTTTAGAAGAATGAATCTTAAGGAAAACAGCAAATACAAGATTGATGTTCCCAACCATCTCCAGTAATAAGTGATATACACGTATTCATACAGTTTAAAGTCTGAATCACAATCATGGTGCAGAAGTTTACATCAGGGTGCTGCAGCAATGTTTCTTTTATTTGTCGACCCCATTAATGTCTTTAGATACAAGACCTTCCATGGCAGCTCGTTTGGATTCCAGGATCTACAAATTCATACAAACATTTAGAATAAAAAGGGAAGTTAATCCATTGCCATAAGATTATTATATTTGGTACAAATATCTGGACAGATTTTAAAAGGTTAAAAAATATAAAAGCTGTCTAACATAGACAATGTCAATGTGCATCAGACTCTAGGGGACCACAGAAATAGCAGTGGTGGCCTGGATTTGGCCCCCTCTCCTCAAGTTTGATACGAGGTTTATATTGACACAGAGATGTGTGGTCTGTTGACATTCTCTGTTACAACACAAAAAAAACAATCTGTCCAGCTACCAGGTTCTCTAATTAGCTGAAAGACTTGATAAATATTTTATAGGAATGCAGCAACTACTTAGCGTATGTGGCATATGTCAAAGCATCCAGTATACCAGTAAAATAATAGATAATTACCTCACTAGTAATGTATTTAACATAGTAAATTTCTATGTGGTAAAAACCCATTTTTTCTTGGAATAATTACAGTTTGTTAAATAACATTTACATTGAAAATCGTATGATTAAAAAGGGAAAATAAAATAATTGGGTATATCCATCAGTAGCATAGTGTGGTACCTCACCTGGAAGCTATCACTTAGGCCAACGATGCTGTTCAGGTTTGTACTGTAGTAACCCAGAACATATTCTCCGCTTAGCAGAGGGAGGCCATCTTTAACCACAGATTTCTGCAACCAAAACAGGAGTGCATGCTTATGAAGAAGGTATTAATATAGGGCTTGACAAAACTTTCTTCAATTCCACTTTACCTCAATGACCTCATTAACTTCTGGAAGCTCGTTCTCTCTGACCCATACAAAGGTTTCATAGTCAGACGCACTCTTGAATCCGACCTGCAGGTCAACAAGACAGTCAGTTCAAATCTGTATGGTTTGTATTGTTGTACTGATGGATTTTTTCCTGCTTCACACACCTTGTAGAGGCCAATCCAGTCCCATGTGGAAGACATGAAGTCTTCCAGGATGGTATAAGTCAGAAGTGCATTTTGGTCTGCGCTCCACTCGCCTACAGGTGTCAGGTCCACCAGTTGTGTCTCGAAGTATTTTCTCAGCTGTAGGGATTACAAAAGGAAAGATGTGGTGCAATAAAATACAACCCCTAGGGCCTACTGTCATGTGACACTTTTATACTTGCCTCCAGAGTAAAATTTCCAATGACTGGCTTGTGGTCACTGACTCCGTAGCTCATGACACTGGTGTATATGTTCTGGGTGACCATGATTGGATACTCGTCCTGCCCATCATCAGCGGAAGTTGATGATTTCTCATCATCATCGTCATCCTCTTCGCTTTTAGGTTTGATCCGCCAGAGGATCCGATCCGTCCAGGCTGGCTTTCTCTTCTTGCCGCTAAATAAAATCAAACAATAGTGAATGATAGCGTGTGAAGTCAAATTTTGGTTAAAATTTTATCTGATGCTTACCTGAGGACACATTTTCATTTATACTAATTCATGTGAACATTTATGAAAACACTGGAAACAAGAGCTGTTAAAAACACAAACATGCGGTGCAAAGGTAACTGTATTCTAGTGTGTAGCTGATAATACCATCTAAAGTAGAATTGGAGTCAAATAAATGTCTTCTAGAAAGCAAAACATGCATTATTCAGGTACAAACAGCAGGCAGCAGGCACACCACATCTGACATTCAAACACACCTGAATTTTGTCCGTTAAACTTGTGTCTCCATATGTCTTCTGGTTGTATGTCTCCCTTTGTCTTGTAGGGACAATTATTTATTTTCAAGTAGGACTGTATGTAACTTTTAAACATTTTATTTATTAATAGCCTCATTGTTTCTCTAATTTTACAGCACAAATTTATGGAGACACCAACCTTGGTGGGTTAAATTCTCTATACCAAGACCCCAACCAGAAACAGACCATTCCCCAGAAGAGGGAGGTGAGGAGGAGGAGGAGGGTGGTACTGCAGCGCTGCAGAGGCCTTGGTCTGTACATGGTTAAAGGCAGTGCCACAGTTCTCGTTCTAAGGCAGACACATCATGGTGGGGTCAGAGGAAAATAACACTGCCTTTGACGTGACAAATGCTGTGCACACTTGAAGCTGATTTCTGCATTAACTAAAGGTAGAGTGACCGACAAAAAGGGGAATGTGGAGCATGCGACACAGGAATGAAGAGTTTCTTACTTAAAACCCAACCATGTCTTTGCAGAGCTGCAAAATTTAAATTCAGTCAGAATGCTGTAAAAGGTGTTAATCTGTGTGATATATGAGCACCAGTATAGACACATGGTACCTGGTATCGTAGGAGTCAGCTTTACGGTCAAACTTGTAGGTGGGTTTAAAATTCAGTGGCCCTTCCTCAAACTCCTGCAGAAAGGGTTCCTTTTTCTTCATCATGATGAGCTGCAACAAAAAGATGTCAACCAGAATATCTTCATCCACAAATAGCCGGGTGTACTATTCTAATCCCATACCTGGTCCTTGCTCCACAGCAAATTGAGGCGTCCTCCATTGATGGATGAGCGGACAAAATGCAAGCCATGGTCCTCGATACGGAAGTTCAGATCACCAAACCAGAACACCACCCTGTTAAGAACCACAGACACCTCTATTTCAGCATTGGGTTGGATGGTAGCCTAATTATATGCGGGTACACTGACTTGTGGTCCAGGACATGAGGAGTGTCAAAGATGTCAAAGTCTTGTGTTTCCAGGATGTACTCAAACTCGTCAACGCGTTGCAGGGCATTGTGCATGTGAGCTGCAAGGTGGCAGTTGAGGAAGCACAACATATGGCCGTAGAAGGAAAAGCGTACAGAGACGGCACCTTTATTTCCCTGAAATAGGAAAAAAGAGGAAAGAAAGAAACTATTTTCAAGCATGATAGGACGTAGCATGATTTTTTTCTTTAATCATTTGTTGGAACACATCCTGGTGTTTATTAAATGTCAGTGTTCTCTTATATTCCCCACTTTCCACCTCACAAACACAAAAGGCCTTTAATTAAAACCTTTGATGTCACTGGAATACCAACACCTATTAGAGTTGATCTCTCTACAATGTTTAGGGTAAAGCAAAGGCCACTAAGAATTTTCCTACCCAGTAGCCAAAGATGCCAGTGCGAGTGTAGGTGCTCTGGATGTTTCTGATGAAGGGGAGATGCATCATTTTGGCAAAAACCAGCAGCAGCAAACCCTGCATCCTCACCGATGTGACCTGAACACATAGAAAAACAAATATTTGTCATTTAGTGTTTGGTGTATTCCTGTGACAACATATTTGATTTTTGTTTGCAGCTTCTGTGAGTGCATATTATCTTGGAAAAATATTATCTTGGAAAAACTCCTAACTTTATCTGTTATGAGTTTCATTTGCTTCCAGTCTCAAATTTCAACATATCCTCTAGGGACTTTATGTGATGGACCTACAATGGACTCTTTCAGGGAAAGGAAAATGATCTATGGTCTTCAAAATTCAACCACAATTTGCCTTAAACTCAATTCTTTAGCTGGTCTGGTTTTAGCTTTACTTTGTCTTTTTCACCTCTTTCAACTTTCTTTGAGCTGCAAATATTTTTTTTTTGCCATTTTCCAATAAAAGCTTAAAAAGTTGCCATATTTTTTCACTTCAGGTGTCAAACTCTCATACATAAATGGATGAAGCACAAAAAGACAACTATTGAATATTTATTTACATGCATCTATTGCTGCACTGCTATGTCCTCTTTTCTCACCTTTACAAAGCCTTTGGGTCCCAGTGTGTCCATGAAAAGATGGCTCCAGGAATCTTCTGCCATCAAGTCTGAGATAAATCTCACAGGTGTGGCATTTACTTCCTGCAAGCTAAGTAACACCAGTAAAAATGGAAAGCACACAAAATGATTCAATCATTGATCATACTGCTAATCATAAATATCTGTCTGCTACCATTTTTCATACCCAATCACATAAAGGTCAACAGAGGGTTGATCATTTAGTTGTAGCAATGAGACGACGTCCTCAGGAGGTTCTGCTGTAGCCACATTCCAGGTGACCATGTGCAGCCTGTAACAATTATTATTAATTATTTATTTTCTATTAAAATTTCACCACCTTTTTATATTTACCTATACTTAAATAATACCATAGAGCAGGAAT